ACCCACCCACCACCCACCCACCCACCCACCCACCCACCCACCCACCCACCCACCGACCGACCCACCCTACCTACCTACCTACCTACCTACCTACCTACCTACCTACCTACCTACCTACCTACCTACCTATCTCTCTATCTCTCGATCTATCGATCTATATCAGTTTGTTGTTATCTGGGACCTTCGGAGTCATCAACCAAGACAAGACACCACCCTATGTCCTGGAGGAAAGACTGGTCTACCCCCGTGCCTGGGCCAATGGAAGGCCATCATGGGGCGTGGTGCAAAACCACAAAACCCTAAACCCTCTAAGAGTTTGGGGTTTATGGTGTTTGGTTGAGGGGCGAACTGAGTTCTCATTCAGGAACTCAACGAGAGCCGCCATAGTAAGGGAAGCAGATTGTTCACTTGATATCCCTACATGGCAGTTTAAGTCAAGTGTTTGAGCTTAGCGATTAGACCTGCAACCTAAGTTTGGTCCAGGTTTCTCGGTTCAGCTATCAATGTTTGCAGTGATTAGGGCTCCGATTGTTGATTTGGCTCAGGTTTCGCGTTGGAGACAACGGAAGCTTTGATTATTGTTACCGTCTCCCTAGGGTCTCCTGATAGATGATACGAGGAAAAAAAGCAAACACTTGTCTGATTTTCAAGGACCTCTGTTTAGATTCCTACAAATCTCTTTTTCATGCCGGTGCAAGCCTGATTGGGTGAGGGGGTGAGGGCTTAATATAGGGCATACACAGCCAGAACAAGGTTTTGGGGAGTAATTCAGGCTTCTGCATTGGCTAATTGCCGGTTGATATAGCAATGGAGAGCCTACACCCTAAACCCTAAACCCTAAATCCCACTACACCCTAAACATTGAGGTCAAGTCTCGAAACAAGTCAACCTCAAAGCCACAGCCCTAAAGTCCTTAACTCCTTATCTCTTACACCCTTCTGCCCTCAACCCTACAGACTAAATCCTTAACCCCAAGCCCTACACCCTAATCCCTAAATCCTGAACCCCTAAACCGTAAGCCACTAAACCCTAAACCCCTAAACCCTAGACCCCGACATACACTCTGAAGCCCCAAACCCTGGACATCCAAAAGACAAGTGTAACCCTAAGCCCTAAACCGTCCTACACCGTATCCTGAGCAAAAGCAAAGACGCGGCGAGGAAGGCCAGGCTGCCATGTACTACAGCAAGCGCCAGGTGCACCGGAAGCTCTGCCACCCACGACAGGTTTCTGTAGGGGTTAAGGGTTGTTTAGGGGCTTCATGGGTTTAGGGCTAGGGTTTAGGGTTTTGGGGTTTCAAGGATTTAAAGGCTTTCATACAAGTTGTTGGTTTTGGCTTTTGTTTGTTGTGGGTTTAGTGTTTAGGGATTCGAGACGGCTTCGTTTATTGTTGGGTGCTACGAGGGTTCTTTGTGCGCTCAAAAAACTGTGTGAGAGTTTAGGTTTCAGGGATTTAGATTTTAGGCTGGGTGTTGGGGACTGCTAGGGTTTGCAGTTTCAGGGGTACAACAAGCGCTTGTCTAGCTGACGCCACCTCGGGTTGTGTCCCATACGCGGTTTTCTTGACGGGACCCTACTTTAGAGAACTACCCAACTGTCTGGATACATGGAGCTCAAGGGCAGGGGCAAGGGCAGGGGCTGACAGTGAGGGACCTGCGAATCCTATGGTGTCCGTCTTCGTCTTCGTACATGGATAAGACCAAAGTCTGGTGTTCGAAGCACTGTCTTCCGGACCTACGGCTTATGGGCTACCTACCCCAATCAAGGGCAAGAGCTACGGCTGATGGACAAAATCCTGCATGACCTTATATACTTAAACTATGGGTTTTATGGTACTATACTGTATTTGGGTCATGCAGAATTGTGTCCATCAACAGTAAGGAGAGGAGGATCATGGGACTTAGTAAGTAGGTTATAAGTAGAGTTATAAGTACCCTAACTGGGGTTACCTCAATTATAACCCTACTTATAACCGACTTACTAAGTCCCCTGGGCCTCCAAGTAGGGCTGCGGGTTCAGGTTGAGCGTGAGCAATCACGGTATATAGAAGCCGGAACAAACAGTAGCACTGCAATATTCCAGAACCTAGTTCCAGTTTCCCACCCCCCAAAACCTAAACTCGATACCCTTACACCATTTTTTCCGGCTTTAAGTTTTAGGAGCCTGAGGAAAGAAATATTGTTTTTTTCTGTGCTCCAGACCATACTAACCATATAGTAAACCCCAAAAAGTTGGAAATTGGATTAAGGACGATTAGTGCTGGGATTCCCTATACATCACTCTTAAGGATTCAGTCTATTGGGTTTCCAACTTTTGGGCTTCTACCGTACGTTGTGATGTCGTTGGCTTTGGAACCCGCAAAGCTTCGGCAGGTTGAAATGCATAGCCAGTCCAGGGATCTAAACCCCATGCCCTTAAGCCCAATGTAGGGGCCTTGGAATAGGGTTTTGGAGGCCCCTTATTATAATTATAGTGTACTATACCCCCAAACCTTATTCAAATTATGTATTAATTAAGGCCCCTATATTAAGCCTTAAACCCTAGGCCCTGAAACCTAAGCCCTGAACCCCAAGACCTAAACCCTTAACCCCAAGCCAAAAAAGCTATGAGGCCTAAACCTTATAGGCCCTCAACCCTAAACACCCTATCCGCTGCGCCCGGAATCATCTGAATTCGTGGCGTAGTCCGACTTGAACCCTGTAGAACACCAAAAAGGGCCGAGGACGGTTCTTTCGGAGGTTGCTGTTCTATTTTTACAGGGTTACAGGTTTTAGGGTGTAGGCTTCAGGGTATATAGGGTAAAAAGCCCGCCCAAACCCCGTAAACCCTGAACACCTCAGATCCCACAATGCCTAAACCCTCAAACCTCTTGAAACCCTCAATTGCCAAACTCTACTTGGAGGCCCAGAGGACGTAGTAAGTAGGTTATAAGTAGAGTTAGAAGTCCCCTAACTGGAGTTACCCTAATTATAACCCTACTTGTGACCGACTTAGTAACCCTAAACCCTAAACCCTAAACCCTGAAGCCGTTTAGGCTTCAGGTTGCAGGGCTGAAGTCTTGACTCCCTTTAAAGGCTGCTTATACTTCTGCAGCGGCTTCAATGGGCTTAGTGGGGGTATGTGGGGTTTCATCGTTTAGGGTTTATGGGGAGGTTTAGGGCTTAGGAGACCCTAAACCCGAAACCCTAAACCCTAAACCCTAAACCCTAAACCCTAAACCCTAAACCCCAAACCCTAAACCCTAAACCCTAAACCCTAAACCCTAAACCCTAGGGGTTTCGGGATGAGGGTCGTGTGGCGCAGGGCGCCTGGTTCGACTGCCGGGTGGTGGCAGTAGATCCAGACACAGGCGCGAAAAAACAAAACGAAGCTTAAAACCTGCAGCCGAAACCTGGGAACCCCAAAATCCCTGGAAAACCCGAAACCCCAGCACCTCGACTAAGTTACTGAGTTCCTTAGAACCCTACTAAGTGACTCTTGCATTGCTGCCGAGGGCCGAAGTAGATTTAGCTGTTCGGGTGGCCGCTGGGCCGGAGGCTTTGGCAAGTCAAGTTTAGGGTTTAGGGTTTAGGGCTTTTCAAACCGGGGGCCTAGATAGTCACCAACACCAACATAGGGCTCGGCATTATGACTATGGTAGAATAATAATCCCAAACCCAAACCCTATTCCAATTACCAATGACCCTGTGCTACGTGGCTTCACACGCTTCCACAGGTTTTTCGAGTTTTGTTTGCTGCTGTTTTAAAGGCTTTGAGTCCGGAGGGCACCTCAAGTTCCATAATCGCGCTACTATGCAGTGGTCAATGGTAGGGTCCCCTGTTTCTGAACTGCCCAAGTAGGCACGGGCACCACCTTGGGTTCATGGGTCCTTGTTGTGGCGGTCCCGCCATTTATGCGGGTCTATGTTTCCGTTCTTGTCTTTGTTGATGCTCTATGGGTGCTTTAAGGAGTTTTGTAAAGTGTTCAGAGGGCTTTGGGTAAGATTTGTAAGGCTTCAGCCTTGATATCCTTCATACAAGAATATTTCGGGAACTGGACAGACTACGGATCTTTGATAATGGGTCGTCTCTTGGAGCTCTTTGGGAAAGTTGGTTGGGTTTGTTTTTCTGTGTGTGTGTGGGTTGGCGGCACTTTGCATTGTTGCCGTGATTACAACTTACAACTGTCAAAGAGCACTTTGATCTGCCCACATGTCTTGTGAGTAGCGTTTTAGGGCCCGTTATACTATAACCATAACATGGAACCCCCAAAATAGTATAGGTAATTATTTAAATTTAGGCCCCTACTTTATTTACAGCAAGAGTTGCATCAGCGCAGCAGGCGCAGCAACCGTGATGACCGAAAGATCCAACACATCGTTGGATGAAGACAGAGGGTTCTCTACCTTAGGGTTTATTTAGGGTTTAGGGTTACAGGGTTCTCTATCCCGTGGGCAGCCGCAAAACATGACGTGTTTTCTAACGTTCGGTCTATTTTGGGGCTCCCTGTTATAATTATAGTGTTGGGCCCCGAAACCCCCTACATTGCCTCGATGTAGCTTTAGGGTTTAGTGGCTAGTTTGTGACGTCGTCGTTGTATAGTAGACGTCGCTTGGAGCACCTGATGAACAGTTCTATAGAGGCCTTAATAATTAGAATCGGGTTTTGTGGTATATAATACTATAGTATCCAATAGTTATAATAAGGAACCCCCCAAAATAGTGTGGGTAATTTTTCCTAAACCCTAAACCCTAAACCCTAAACCCTACATTACAATACACCCAAGAAACTGAGCTCTGGGCTCCGAAACCAAGCAGGTGCACTGCGCATGGATGTAAAGCCCGACTACTGGATGCCCGTGGAGGAGCAGGAGGAGGCCTTTGGGTTTAGGGTTTAGGGTTTAGGGTTTAGGGTTTAGGGTTTAGGGTTCAGGGTTTCGGGTTTCGGGTTTTCGGGTTTAGGGTTTAGGGTTCAGGGTTTCGCAACCTTCGGGGGGGCCGTTGAAGGGTTTAGGGTTTAAGGTTTTGATTGTTGAGGGTTTAGAACCGACATACACCCGGAAACACTGAAACTCCAACCGCCGAAGCTTATCAACAACGAGTCCAGCATTAATCGCTTGCTAGCCAACGGTTTCATGTATAGGGTTTAGGGCTTGGGCTACATAACGGGGTTTAGGGCTAAGGGTTGAAACCCCATCCCGATCAGGTGCTGAAAGCACGTTAGGGCAGAGCCCCTGTGAGAAGTTGAGACGCTTTTGTTTTACATTTAGCCCCCTCCATGCGGTACAGCGCTGGAACGAGGGAGGCGTTTTGCAAACGGTCAATCGCCGTCGGTGATATCGCCGCAGACCCAAGGAATTTGGGCTTTTAAATCTCTATTGCTGGAAAGATGTTTGGGTCCTCAGTGTTTTCCCGGGCTTTCTCCAGCAGATTTAATGGAAGATGCAGGCATACGAGCAAGAGTCCTTCTGTCGACTGCAAAGGTCGATCTCCATACTTACATTCTAGAGCCTACCCTAAACCCTAAGACCCCTAAGATACATCTCAACATCCTGGAGAAAGTCCTGTACAAATGAGGCCAAACATGCTGTCCTCTCATCCTTCCCAATCCGGGGAAGAGCTGAGAGTGCTTTCGTGGAGGATGTTTTGCCGCGTTCGAAGATAGAGGCGCCAAGAAGAGCCGGGATCCGGTCCTAAACCCCTAAACCCTAAGGGTTTTCGGGGGTTCCTTGGAGGATTCTGTCTAAAACGCGGTTCTATAAGGAGTTCAGGATTCAGGGCTTGGCTTCGGGGTCAGGGTTCTGCACACCCAAATTTAGTATTTGGAGCTGAGACCCTAAACCCTAAGCCCCTGAACCACCAAGCCCCTAAACCCCTAAGCCATAAACCCTAAACCCCTCAACCCCAAAGCCCCTAAACCCCTAAGCCCTAAAGCCCCTTTCTTCTCTGAAACAGGCGTCGCCTAGCCAAAGAATCCATTCAACAGGATAGGCTGCGAGCCATTTCTGGCCAACCAGGAGGCAGTGGCGCACAGCAGGGCTCGGATTGGACCATTCATCGTCGCATTATTGCCAAAGGTATAGGGTTTAGGGTATAGGGTTTAGGGTTTAGGGCTTAGGGTTCAGGGTTTAGGGTAAGCGCCTGCGCTTCCACCAGGCAATTTGGCAAGCGGCCCTAGTGCACGCTGATAATGGAGGACATGCTTTGTGCCCGTTCTGCAACCGGGCCAATACGTTGGAGCATGTCCTTTGTGACTGCTCGTGTTGGCAGGGACGGACACCCACAGTTGTCCTCTTGGTTGCGAGCCCTGAAGGAGACATACCCTGATCCATGCTTATGGCTCAGGGGTTTGGGGCCGGCCAGGTTTGTCCAGACACAACTTGTGTCTACTGACGATGAATTGGAGGGTGATTGGCCAACGGGGCCCCTCCCAGCTGACTATGTGATTGGCACTGACGCCAGCGGTGGCCGGCACTCCTAAACCCTAAACCCCAAAGACCCTAAACCCCTAAACCCCAAAGCCCCTAAATCCCTAAACCCCTAAGCCCCAAAGCCCCAAAATCCTAAACTGTGGGGCTTCAAGGTTTTCAGTGGGGTTAGTGTACCGTGTATAGAGCCTCTCAGGATTTAGGGCTTATATGGTTTAGTGTTTAGTAGAGTTTTGGGATCTAGGTTTTAGGGTAAGGGTGTTTGGGATTTAGGTTTTATGGGGTTCGAGATAGTCAGAAGTCTTACGATTGCCTAGGCGTCCGGATTCCGAAGCCAAGAAGACGACTGTCTGTTATTGTTTCGGGTTTAGGGTTTAGGGTTTTGATGTTGATAGAGGGTTTAGGGTCGAGGGTTTGGGCCGTTTGGCTTGGGATTGAGGACGGTAGACCCTATACCCGAAACCCTAAACCCTAAGCCCTTTTTAGGATTTGGGTTAGTGCGGCTAAGTGTTTCGGATGCAAAGCCCGCGCCTTTTTCACGGCTTCGGATGCTAGGTTGAATAGGGGAAGTTTAATGCTCTCCTTTATTTCAGGGCGCGGTGCCCTTCTGACGATTTCAGATGTTGTGCTTGAGTTGCTGAGGTTTCTGCTTTACATGCCTGGTTTAGGCTTCTCGGCAAACATCGGCATTTTCTGCAGCTCCCCTTTGAACAAAAAGGGAGCTTGCTTCGGACACAGTGGTTCATGACCACTTCGAGCCCTAACTCTCCTTGTTGAGTGGTCCTTATGTCCAAAGACCTTGACCTGAGAGTCCTTAACAGCCTTCAGATACCTAAACCTAAGCTTTAAAGACCTGACCGACTAAACCCAAAGCCCTAAACCCCAAGCCCTTTTAAGGGAACCCTCGTAGAACTCTTTACAGGAACCCTTGTGGTTAAGGAGCCCTCACGCTTCCCAAAATTCCCGGCTGATGTGACGGCAATGGCGCAGCATCGTGGTCGCCTCTCAAGGCACAATCCTACTTAGGGTTCAGGGCATGGGGTGTAGGGTTCAGGGTACAAGGGTGAAACACGGGGATTATCGACGGGTTCGCAGGGGTTTGTTGTGTACCTATAGTCTCCATTGTAGTTCCTTTTCGGGGTGGTTAAACCAAAAAAGGAACTACAATGGAGACTATAGGTAAGGGTCTCTGCGAGGGGTTTGTAAGAGCGGTGACTGGGGTGGTACATGGCGGTGCTCTATCGGATCACGGGGATGTGATTTTGGTGCGGATGCTTGTGGAGGTGGTTGTGAGAAAGGAGATCCCCGGCGGGAAATTACGTGTCGCAATCGAAGTAAACAGAATGTCTCTTTTTGGCTGTATGGCTGTTGTGGTGTAGTAGAACATACTCCCAGACCCTCTTCAAACGTCCAAGGCCTCCACATTAATATGAGAAGGAGAGTTTCAGCTTCCTTGCAGAAGAAAGTTTACATTCAAGCCGAACCTGCTATGATACTGCCGCTGTATCGACCCCGCATATGGAAACAGCCCGCCTAAACCCTAAACGCACTTAACGCCACCCTAAACTTCAAACCCTGAGCCCGAAACCCTGAACCCAATGAACCCTGAACCCTATAGACCCTAGACCCTAACCTAAACCCTAAAGGAACCCTGAACCCTACTAACCCTAAACCCTGATCTCTAGACCCTAACCTAAACCGTAAAGAAACCCTGAAAACCCTGATCCCTGATCTCTAGACCCTAAACTACCGAGAGTCTCCATTGTAGTTCCTTCTTGGGGAATACCTTATAAGATTATAACATCCTTAATATAAAACTGGTTAACCCAAAAAAGGAACTACGCTGGAGACTATAGGTAACCCTAAACCAACGCCGAGAGCAGGCATAACTCCTGGCTCCTGGTCAGCTCGCTGCTGTGCGCCGCTGCCTTCGTGACGCCGCGAGCTGAGAACCCAGGTAATATAGGGGCCTGAATAATTACCAGTGTTTAGGGTTTAGGGTTTAGGTATGCTTT